AAGCAACGACAACAGAAGCAACAACGACAGCACAAGCAACGACAACAACAGAAGCGACAACAACAACAGAAGCAACAACAACAACAAAAGCAACGACAACAGAAGCAACAACGACAGCACAAGCAACGACAACAACAGAAGCRACAACAACAACAGAAGCAACGACAACAACTGAAGCAACAACAACAACAGAAGCAACGACAACAGAAGCAGCTACAACACCCGCTGGAAATGGTACGTTTTCTGATAAAACTAATAATATCAAATATGATTATGATGATAAATCATGATTCAGATGATGATGTAATAATATTAACAATTAACAATTAGACCACGCGGTGGTGTGGACGAGTTAACAGCCCACCAGTTCCACCACAACAATTTKTAACGATTTTTTTAAATATTTTTGCTTCATTCGATGCGATATTGAACTATCATAATATAAAGTAGTTCATCTAGKCGCCAATCAAAATGCCGGACTGTTTTGGGATACTTRCATTCAGTAATTCCTTTCAGTTTGGGTCCAAGTCAGCACAAGCAAAGTATGTTTTGGTACAAAGGACGATACGTTTGGAACCTTTACAATCACTAAGGATGGAAAAATCAAGAAATTCAAACTCTATTACGCCGGAGGGTTTGGCTTAGTWACTGAGCTCTTCGGAGCTGCAGGTAGATGGGGCGCTCCATCAGTAAATGCATTATTAATAAACACGAAAATTGAAACCCACATTACTGATGCAGGCAACAACAGAATTACCCCGCCAGTTGGTTATAAGATATATAATGGATGGGGTCAGATGTCGTATGACATTCCTGGATATGGCTACATGAGCGATTATATAATTCTCCCCGAGATTTCCCCGGCCATCAGTGTGAAGATTGGAGATCAATTTAGGATTTGGTTTGGGCAAGATTGGCAGAACATCAACGAAAATAACAATAAAGGACAGTCCTGTGCAGACGTKTCTGCTTTCTACTCCGAGATAGCGTGATAAGAGRGCTGRTTGATCGACGAGRACTGTAATATTTCTGCAATCTGGTTTGCAAGCTGATAGTGTCTAAGAACTACGGCTGATATTGAATCAACGTTTTTAATCATTGCAGGTTCAGTTAAATTAACTTATTTGTGTGTTTGAGACACTGATAGGTCACGTGACTTGTAACTCTATGACATTTTATGTCAGTTGTTTTAGTTTGTTAAATTTGTTTCTTCTATTCAATGAAAAAGTCGATCAATTTTTTAAAAATCTGTAAATGATCAATTAGTTCACACACAAAATGTCACTGATTTGACAAACTTTGTAAAATGATTTTATAGGACATTTACAATGTTTATCGATCAAAGATATTTAAAAAATATACATTAAATTTATCAATTTAGGATTTGGTATACGGATCAGTGGGAAGGTGACAATTCGGGACGGACATGCGCAGACTTGCATGCTTTTTTCTCCGAGATGCTATAATTATGAAGACGTCATCGCCACGTGACAATCACGTGATGACGTAAAGCAAATCAAACCAAAATGAATAAATGATTTTGATTGGATGACTACGTACTCCTACGGGGTGAGATGAGACAGGCCGTCGAGCTGTTTTAAATTTGTTTTAACAACATGCGCTCTTCGAGCGTCCTTTAACTTTTTTAAAAGTTAAAACTTTAATTTCATATGAAATTACCCAAAAACTAATTAATTAAATAATTGAAAAAGTGACAAATCATTGTTAACCTCCACATGGGGGATCGTCTGGGTATAAATTTACAAAACAGTGAAAACACAACAGAAGTTCATCCCTTTGTGAAAAATAACAATCTATGAATAAGACCTAAAACTACTTACTTCCAACTTCAAGAAAATAAATTTTTGAATTCACCCAACTACCACTTTTTCTCTGTCATATTCCTTGATAATTTCTAATAAACAAGAATATGAAACGAGTGTTTAAATTAAAAATGAGCACTCCTGGTTCCATGTCAAAATACCATGTTTTTTCTGGCTGCAATACCATATACCATCTGAAAACGTCCGAGGGTCCATAACGGCAAGACTTATTAAAATGCTACGAGGACTGTTCCTTCACGTTGTGTTTTTGACTCTTTTTTCTGGAAAAATCAATGGACAGCATGAAAAAGGTAAATTCCTTAACATGAGATAATTAATTGAATCTATCTTATAAATGCTTGGCGACAACAACGCAGTCGTGACACAGGGTTCGTGCTACATTTTCACTATAAAATCCCAGGACCTTTCAAGTACTTTTTAAGCACAAAAATGCAATTTTCAAGAACTATTTTTGAAGATATTTTTAATGTTTTCAGACGTTTCCAGTGGCAATGTTGAAAAAKAGCCACATTCAATCCAAAAACTAACAAGTAACACATCAATTTTTATCAAATTCAAATCAAATTTTAACGATTTCCATCATATTCAAGGGCTTTCAAAGCGCCCTTGAAAACAAGTTTTCAATTTCATGACTTTTCAAGGAGTAGCTCGAACACTGGCGACAACTAACACCCTGCTCGTGAAGTATCGAAACGTTTCAGGTTTGAAGTTCTACTCTTCTCAAAAAATATAAACAAAGACCTCTTATGTATAAATTAAGAACTTAGCTCATCTAATCGCTATTTTATTACTTGAAAAGAAGAATTTAGTTATCTGGAGTTAG